GCTTGGAAGAATAGCTCATGAGCTGGAACAACTTGAGATGATGGAGCACGAACACGGCGGTCTTGGTATCTCAAACACAGTTCCTAGAGCGGCGTCTATCAGCTCAAGGTCATCAAGTGATAGCGTTGGCAAGGGTCACAACCACAATGGCTCAACATCCTCGTCTATTATGAGCGCAAAAAGATCTAGCGGTGATCATAGTGAACTCTCGCACACTACAATTACGACCATCTCGCCTGGTCGAAAAGCCTCGATCGGATCAACTTCAATGAACTCTCCAGGCCGTCATCCTCATCCCCTCCGACAAGAGATTCACCAGAGCCCAGCAGAGGAAGAAAAGGTTGCAAACCCGCCTAAAGATGAGGATCCATTTAGTGGCCTCCGAGCGAGACTTGTTACCGCTACATACGAGAGCCCGCGTGTAGGCTCTCCTAAAGGAAAAATGACTGAGGACGATCATCGCAAAGAAATGTTATATTGTATATTCGGTTGGAAGGGAGATATTGAGGATCTGATCACAGATCAACGTAAGTAGATGACCAGGTTTCATCCCATGCCCATCAGATGATTAACGCATTTCAATAGTTGATTCTGTTGACTCTCGATCTATGAGTGCCATCATGCTACGAATGTGGCTTGGCGACCTTGACCAAAATTCGTTGTCAGTTTTACTAGGCGCCGATTTCGTGGTAGCTGGCGATTGGATGTTCCTTGCTCTGAGTGCTATGGGTAATATACATCCCCATCCTGTGGGCTATCTCATTGCTAACATAGAGGCTCAACTACTACCACAGGCGGCCAAAAGTCGTGGAACCACGTTGTCCGTGCGTTTGTCATGCGACTCCTTCAAAGAGGTGACTTACATACGGCAGTTCTGTGTCTTCTTGCCCTTGGGGATAAGAACGATGCAGTGGAGGTTTATGTTTCTCACAAGCGGTATATGTAAGTTGGAGCTAGTTTATTTGGATGATACGAAGAGAGACTTACAGTGATATTATAGGGAGGCTGTTTTACTTGTTTCCCTTCTCTGGAAAAAAGACTGGAAGAGACAATCTCAACTGGTTCGGAAATGGGGTGAACATTGTGCTGAGAATGCAGATGCACCACTTGCTGCCCGTTGGTAAGTTTGTTCTCTTCTTCATAAACTATCATTCAGTTTGCTGATTTTTAAAAGCTTTGCCTGTGCTGGTTCTGAGGCATCTGCAGAGAGGCCGGCAGCCGCACCAATGTCCCGTTCTCACTCACGGTCAAAGTCTGAGACAGAGCCTATCCAGCATTTTGTCCGTAGTCTTTCTATCAGCGCCCCAAGTAACAAGGCATCCCTACGGATGACTGCAAAGAACTCTCCTCTAAAGTTAATCACTGCTTTCCCAGCACCTGCAACTGACCCAATTGCTCGTTCTGCCACCACTTCGCCAAGTAACGAAGGGAAAATGGGAGGAGTTCAACGGTTTTTTGCTTGGGCCGGCGATAGAGGTAAAACACCAGTGGCCGCAACCCCAATTGCAATGTCTGCAATATCACCAGTTGATGGAAGTCACTGGCAACGTCGCGACCCCTTCGCTGCCATGTCTGCAAAAACAGTGATTCCAGGCGCAGCAAAGCTTCCACCTGTCACAGAGATGTCACCTGATACACCCAGTCAGCAGATTAATCTCCCAATCGAGCAGCTTTTGCCCCCACCACAAGCAGAAAAAGGGATGAATATCTCGTCCCCAGTTGAAGCGCGTAATGAGATGGGATTTTCTGAAAGCCGAGGACCAGTCTCCTTCGGTGAACATAGGTCCAACAACAATACACCTGCTCCTGGCACTGGGTCAAGAACAGTCACCCCTAGACCACCTTCCTTGGCAATGGCGCCTGCTCCTCCACCTCCGCCCCCTCGTACATTGGCTGCATTGGCTTACACGCAGAACCCCGCCCCACCCACGACGCAGGCGCCTACCGGCGCACTTCCATCCCCACCCTCAGATCTCTTGAATAATAGAGATAGCGGTGGTAAAGGTGGCCACGCTTCGCGAAAGCCAGCTGGATTGGCCATTCAGTCGGTCCAGTGGCCTCCAATGGATACCGTAATCCGTGAAGCCACACCTCCAATTTCGTCAGGCGGTTCTAAACATAAGCGTACTGGTTCTCGTAATACACCCCCAGTTGCTAATGGACGGCCCCCAGCACGAGCGGAAGCCAACGACCTGGATGGATTCCTCACCTTGCTTGACAACGTAAATAATAAGAGGATGGATACTCAGCGTGCTGCACCTCGTATTGGAGGCAGGCGCCGGGCAGAATCTCCCGATATTAATGGAAGGGATAAGAGCCGAAACAATAGAGAGAGAAGCACTGATAGAAGAGGTAGACAAGCAGCCCGCCAAGAAACTCCCTTGATGCGGTCACCTTCTAGTCCACTCCCAATGTCACCCCAAGCAAGGCTTTACAGGGAGGATGTCGAGGAGGAAGATTTGCATGAGGCCGACTTTGAGGACGAAAGATATTACACTTCCAGCCCGCCGCCACCAATGCGAGAGCCTTCGAGACGTCGTGTCGCTTCTAGAAGCCGTCAGAGAAGCCGCCAGAGAAGCCGCCAGCCAAGCCGCCAAAGGAGCCGTCAGAGGAGCCGTCAAAGAAGCCGAGGTCGTGAAGAATTGAGGATACCTGGAGGATCTTTGTATAGGTCCCCCTCTACCCCTCTCCCCTCGTCTTCCCAGGCCAAGTTTTACCGCGAAGAAGAGGAAGACAGTTTCGATGATGAGAGGTATTATACCGCTAGCCCACCGTTAAACAAGGCATCCCGGGCAAGGTCTCGAGGTAGGTCTCACCTGCGAATTCCCGGGCAAGCTTCCCACATGCGATCACCCTCTAGTCCACTCCCGATGGCACCAGAGGCGTTGATGTACGCAGAGATGGCCAAGGAGATGGAATATGAAGAAAGACAGCCCCGTAAAGCCCACCGCGGAATTCGAGAGGAATCCCGAAATCGTTTACAAGGTGGTGGTGGCCTTAGGAGGTCCCGCTCAGAAGCTACTATGCGTCAATGGAGTGATGCGCTTGAACGTGCGGGAGCCCTGGAACGTGCGCCTTCAGTTTCGGGAATGATGAAGCGGAATGCTTCAGTCCGTGGTCTTCCTCCTAATCCTCGTGCATGGAGGAATGAATTTGGGAGCGAATCTCGTGCCGGTTCACCGGCACCAGCTCCCAGATCTGCTTCACCTGCCATGTCTATGGCTATGGCGCCTGCACCACCACCACCGCCACCACCACCACCGCAGCCATTTATGCAGCCTGGGAGAGCGATGTCGCCGGCTATATCGACGCTGGGTGCTGTTTCAAACCCTCGGACAATGTCACCAGGCCCTAGTAGGCAGGTAACGCCAGGCCCAAGAACATTCACGCCAGGTCCTAGACAGAACACTCCGGGTCCAAAATTCCAACAGGTTCCTCACAGACAAATGACACCCGGCCCCCGACTGACCCCGGGTCCAAGAACGTTCTCGCCGCCTCCTCGTGCTGCAACTGCAAACCCCTTCCCCCTGAGGGAACGTGCAGATTCCGACAGCCAGGTAGCTACTAACCGCGCGACGAAGGAGACTGTTCTTCGCCTTCAAAACCATTACTATGAGGAGCCAGATCATTACGACGCGACCAGGAAACCAATTCTTCCTGATGTTCCAACCATTCCTTTTGGGGGAAACCACTCGCGTAACAACTCCAATGACCCCAACTTCAAACCCTTGATCCGCAAACTCCCGCCTCAGCTGCCCCCAGACTCACCTCCACCATTGCCGCACGATCTCCCGGTGCACCCATTGTTGAATATGAGCCTTGCTCCCAGCCAACCTGGCCGGAAGGGCCAGCAAAGGGTGGTAAGAAGGCAGAGACAGGAGGAATATATGAACCCCATTGACGGGGTATTACGGGACCACGAGCAGCACATCACGATCGGTCTCGATGCCCATGAAGCGGCACTCCGCTGGGAGGAAGAAAATCTTTATAATCAGCAGCAGGCACAACGCTATCAGATGGAGATGCAGCAGTTGAGGGGACATGGGGCAAGCCCTAGCCTTGGCAGTCAACATAGTGGGCACAGCGGACATAGCCACAATAACCATTACCAGCTGAGGGACTCTAATGAGGCTATTGGAAGTATCAACCAGTTTTAGAAAAAATTACTTTTCTTTTGTTTTCTTCACGATTTTCTTTTCTTTTCTTTTATTTCATCGGGGAGAATATATCCCCGTTTTTATTTTGTTACTTTATATATTGCGCGAACCATAATTTTGTATGCTAAATGGGGCGAGATCAACTTTTCATGAGGTGTTTTTGGTGGCTTTCGATTTATTTTCTTTTTCTTTCTGGTTTGGGTGCGGGAATTGGTTGGCGGCATAAGGATGGTGACGACAAGTACTTACATTCATTTCTACTTTTCTTTTCTTGGATTTTTTTTTTCTTCTACTTTCACTTGCCTCATTTAATAGAGGATCATCCTTTTTTTTTTCCCTTCTGACATTCTCAAGAGTTATTGCACTGGCTTCGCGGCCTGGGTGGTGTTCTTGTTTTTACGTATCTATTATCTTTTGCTCTAGAATTGGAGAGTAACATGATGTCTTTTGGAAAGTGATACTTCAACTACACGCTTATTTATGTATGAAGTAGTTAGCATGATTATTGTTTTGATAGTCCGACGTTTTAATCAATAATTCGTGCCTATGGTAACGAGTGATATATTGTGATTGACTACTAACTAGTAATGCGTGCCAAACTACCCTTTTTGGGAACTATTATTAGTTGAAACATTTAGTCCGTCTACTATCTTGGCATAGTCAACCCACCACCACCCAAAGGCATCATTTCTCACAACACAAAGAAATGATCAAAAATGCAGGAAAAAAAAGCTCAAAGCAACATCTTCGCACAATAATAAAAATACACACGTACACACATACATAAACGCACATATATATAAACAATCACCATCCGCTAACTCAACCAGAACCCCGTCTCGGTTAGTGATATGTCTGATGCTGCCCCTCCCCAAAACTAATCTGCGGCGGCGGCGTCGGCGTAACAGGCATAGTCAAGATCTGCGGCGGCGTATATATCCGCAACCCATTATTTGCCTCCAACCCAAACTGGAAGCCAAAGCCCAATCCCTGCGATTTAGAAGCTAACGGCGCAGATAGCCCAGGTGATGTCCCATCAGAGGCCAGCGTTGATGACACAGTCCCTGCCGGCGATGGCATCGCTAGAAACTCCGCGTCTGGCTCGAAGCTAGACCCTACCTTTTGCGCTTTTGGGCGCCCCTCTTCATCGTCTCTACTAGAAGCCTTACTACGGCAAAACCATCGCCCCACCGCAACCCTCATCCTGCGTATCTCTGCCCGCGACTCCATCGTCGTCCCAAACACAAGGAAAAACAGATACCCCGTGAAGCTGCCCGGGATCGGGGAGCAGATATTGGCAAACTCCTCGCTCTGGTCAATGAGCGGCTCGAGTAGTCCTCGCGACCACTCTATCCGGAAGTGTGCCCACCGCTGGAGGAAGAAGATCTGCATCACTATCGTGTAGATTTGCAGGCCCTCGACCATAACGAAAGCCAGTGCGATGCGCGCTATAAGCCAGCCGTCAGAGCCGATGTAAAGGCGGCCGAGACCAGTACGTTTTCTGCCCTTCTCAAGGGTTTGGTCGAGCCGCGGGCGGAACTCGACAACTCCGTCATACGTGCGGGAGAGGCGGACCTCGGTGGCTCCTTTTGCTTGGCGGTGAATGGTGATAACGTGGATAAGGGTGAGAACCAGGAAGACGGATCCCATGCCGATGTTTACAAGGACTTTCGGGGGTAGTTATTAGAAGGGAGATTCCTTTTTGTATGAAATAAGAAGACATATACTTACTGATGCAGTTCATGAGTATTAGTTGCGCAAGATCTTTATCGCGGAGTGACTCTAGGCGCAGGAGACCGAGTTGAATTGCGGGCAGGGCGAAGCAGGAGATTTTGGTACTAATGATTATTTTTTTATTTTTCCACCAGACGGGACTGAGGGACCATGATGAGGAGAAGAGTATCAAGGACCAGTAGAAAAAGAGGAGGCCTTGCGAGTTGACAAAATACATTTCTGGTTCGGTCAATAGAGTTAATATGTATAGTACAAACGAGAGATATAGGCAGGAAGATCTTACGTAGTGAGAGGAAGGCAGAGACATATTTGTCGTTTGTGTGGAAAAGAGGGAATGGCTCATTTCCGTTACATTGAAACATCCGTGTCGCCAATCGGAACGCCTCAAGCATGAGGTCTGAGAAATGCAGAAGAGTATAAATCTGCTGCACAAAGCTGTTGAAATTCCCCAAAGCAACAACGATGGCTAGTATTGATACGTCTAAATAATTGAGTCAAAGTCAGCCAACAAGAAGTATTGGTTGTGATTTAATAGCACTTACAGTTGTAGTGCTGCCCATTTCGGATATTAATAACCAACAGGAAGATACTAGTGACACCAGAGAAAAAAGTAAACACTGCAACAGCGATTCCAAGAGCCCAGCTCGAAGATCCAAGGCCGACAAGCATGTCTTTGAGAAAGAAAGAAAAACCCTTGACCCTGACCTGTCAAGGAGGGGCGTGAATTAGGGTTTAAGCGTGAGGCTGCGGTAGTAGAAAAAGTAAAAAGAACGTGGATATTGAATGTGCCAGCAGTAAAGGGAGAAGAACGAAAAAGCTCAGGAAGAAGAAAACTGTGAAAGTGGAAATGATAATGATACTCATGTAGTAAAGGAGGGGAATTATATTAAAAAGGTGTACGCGTCAGTAGTATATTTTGCCAATATCATGATTGTTTATCCCCACTGTATTGTAGCAATAGTCGTGGTTCAACTAACTGCACAATTAGCCAGCCAGTGAGTTTGACCTGGGGGTGAGAAAAGGAAAAAAAAAATAAAAAAGTAAAAAAGAAGAGAAAGACCGAATAAAAATAAAATTTAAAGGCAGCGGGGGGAGTGGGAGAATTAAGGAATACTAGCCGTAGAAGAGAAGGTAATAGTTGGCAAGAGGCCGGGGGTTTGAGAGCAATAAGCAGAAAAGCCAATACAAGCCAGAAGCCGCCTACATAGCTACAGCCAAAAACTCAATCTCAAACACCCCACAATGTTCCATCATACGAGCAGATCACTGCGATAGCCCTCCGTTACGTGTATCGTTCGAAAAAAAAGCTGGGTTGGCTCAAAAGAGATGAAAGGGGTCCATAAACGGCTATATTAATACCTATGCATGCATCTTATCCGAACCCAAACCCCAACCCCTGAAAGATAAAACGGTCGTCTCCGACAGTTGTAAAACAATCCTCTCACAACGTCTATCAACGTTAAGGTTATCTCTAGAAAAAAAGGGTTTCTTTACGGTTGTAAGGCAGGGCGGGGGGCGGCGGGACCTGTGTCCGGTTTATCGAGCTAACAGTGCCTTGCATGGGACAACCAGAACAAATCCCGAACATCACTGTGAATGGCTGTACGAGACAATCTGATAACGCTCACTAGTGGTGATTTTCTAGAGTATTAGGAGACTCGGAGAGAAGTCTCATTCCTTAAATTTAGATACTTGAGCTAAATCCACGTTTTTACCTCCCCGGGGCTGTTTACGTAGCTAAATACATATGTATACATCATACACACTAATAATGGCTCCCTATGTATACGTGTACACGAAACGGTGAGTAAATAGAGCGAGTCGGTATGGTCGACTCGTTGAGAACTCGATACGGCTGAGACCTAGCATTGCATCCTCATATAAGGAAGGTATATTAGATCAGAGAGAGTAGGAATGAGTCTAGCCATGAGATATCGCAGCTAAATATCATGCGCCCTCGAATTTCTCACACTAATATATAATGCATAGTTATATCTATAGGACTTTTTTTTTTTAAAAAAAATCATAATTTTATATCTATAGGACTAAACACCGCCGCTTGATATGGGCGCGGATAGGTTTTCCTCTCCGGGGCCTGGTGCCTGTGTTAATTACCTATGTAATACGATCGATGGCCACTTAGAAGCAGTGCAACGGGATGATAGATTATTGATGGCTGATGAGATATATATATTTCGCAATGGACACATTTTGTGAGTATCTGCTGGGGATTACTGGCGAACGAATTGAATTAAGAGTGAGGGAATGGAATGTTACCATGCATGAATTGGAATATACCTCGAGGTGACCTCGAGATATGGTCTCGATCTCTCTTTGCTCAAGCAGAGCGAGGCATGATTCCTAGCTAGAGAGTAGAAATACCTTTAGCAGAATCGTCGCTACTTGAAAGTCAAATACATAAGTACGGGCAAGTCTGTAAGTCTCATACGTGAGTGGATACAGGCCGCAGGGACAATAATTTTGAGGCTTGTTATACCACCAGCTTCTTTCCCACTGCTACCCGGCCCCCAACCAATGAAAAACGGGTACAGTTTGATAACCCCACTCCATTGAATCTCCCCTTTTGGAAACAACCTTCCGCCTCTTAGTTTCTGGGCTCTACTCGCAGAACTTACAGGCGTGGAAACAACGACTTTATCTTTCGCTTCCTTTTCTTAGGTTTGCTTGGTGTGGCTAAATCTCTTCCTCTTATCACCCCACCCTCTTCTTACCTTCGGTTTCCTCTTCTATCGTTATTCTCATTCAAGCAATATCTAAACCTTTTACTTACCACTTAAGTGCAATTATCTCGCTTGATTCCTACTGACTACTGTAGAGCGAGGAACACTCCTATTTAGCTAAGTGGACGAGGCTTTCTGATATTCCAAGTTCTGATCCCCTTGGTATGAAGGATTACCGTGCAGGGGCTGCTAAACCACACCTGGCCGGAGTAGATGATGATGGTAGATGAGAGTTGGTGTATAGAATGAATCCAACTCAACTTTCAGGTGGTCCCCTATCCTGTGGCGGATTTCGCGAATGGAAGGCGGGGGTTAGATAGGGTAGTTAGGGCCGAGCACGTTAGGGCTGGAGGTGAAAGCATCCTTGGCAGAGCAAGTTTCCTGCTTAGTGTTGCATGGGCAAGAGCCTGTTCGGGACGAGCCTGACCTAGAGCTCGAGCTGGTTCGGATTGTGCAAACGAAGGCTCGGAATGTTCGAGCTCGGGAGTATGGCTCGAGCTTATGTAGGCTCGATCTCTCATTAAAATATAGCTAAAAATAGTCATTTCGATATACTTTTTACTTTTAAGGACGAACTCAGAGGATTTATCTTTGTTATATTATCCAATTTTGCCATAATCAACCTATTACTAATGGTCCAAAAAGCTCGAGCCTAAGCTCGAGTTTTTCCAATATTGGCTCGAGCTGACTTGAACTTCGTGAGAAGGAGAGCTCGAGATGTTCGAGCTTAAAGCTCGGCTCGTGCCCAACACTATTCCCGCTCTTTAGATAAGGTTAGGAGATAAGTATATAAATGTCGAGTGATATTTTATGATCCATACAATCAAGGAACTTGTCCATTAACAGTAGCACCATAATGCGTTGCCATAAGAAAATGTATACTGTATACAGGTAAAGGTAACTAAACTAAGTAATGCTTAAGGTAATGTATGTAGAATCGAAAAATAATCAAGAAAAGAACAACAAAACTCGTAACGACATATACCTCATAACAAAACGTTATCACCCCAAAACTCCAAACTACCCCAACAAACAAAGACAATAGACCCGATACAGAATAAGTAAAGAAAATGCGCAGAAAGGGGAATCTAACAAGTGTAACTACTACATAATGGTACAAAAAAGAAGAAAAAGAATGGCCACTTTTACAGAATACAGTGCAGCTCACAGGGAGTGAATGGAGCCTGCAGTGAATGGGTTAAACGAAACTAAAAGAAAGAAAGAAAGAAAAAAAGAATGTGGGGAGATGCGGGTACCCAGAGCTCTCATACCGCAAAGAGCTTTGCCTCATCCCTATCTCTCCACCGCCTTGGGCTCTATCTTCACTAAGCCTCTTCTCCCCAACTCAGCCCACACCTCGTCCTCTCTCATCGACCCCTCTTTATTATACGTCAAACCATCGAGCTCTTTCATCCTCGGGCAGCGTCTCCCAATCGTGATCTCATATGTACGCCTGACTACCGCAGAATCGATATCCAATTGGGCTTGGAACGTGGCATCGACGCTCTCGTCCGCAGGCATCATAGTGAACGGGTCTTTAGCGTACTCATCTGGGTCCTCTGCGCTCTGTATGGCTTTGCGCACGGATGACGGCGGGTAGAACCCAATGGTGAGGGGGTTCATCCTGTAACACAATTAAGTCAGTATAAATAAATCCAAATCCTTATAACAACTCACCTGAGGTCCAGATAACTCAAACTCGGGAACCCGCTCAGGACAGACGCAATTTTCTTTACGCTCCTAACTCTATTCCCGACGAGGAGCAACTTCTTCAATCTGATAATGCCCAACAACGGCTTCAGGTCCGAAATCGCATTGTTGTTCAAATTCAGGACTCTGGTGTTACACAGCAGCTCTCCAAAGTCTTTCGGAAGCACAGTCAACTGTGCGCTCGCCAACTCCAGGTACTGCAGATTCAGAAAGTCGAGCTTGAGCGACAGCTCCCGCAGCGGGTTACCAGACATGTAAATTTTCCGCGCCTCATACATTCTCTCGAGCTTCAGTGAGAGCTCGTGATCTTGCTCGCGGACGGAAATGGCGTCAAGGTGTTTGGCGCGAGTCAGGCCAGTGATGGTGTGGAGACGGTTATTGTCCATATAGAGGATACGGAGGTTGGGGAAGGGCGTGACATCAAAGTTTGTGAAGTAGTTCTGCGTCAACTTTATGCAGCGGATCGTGTCCATTTTGGTAGCAGCGGGGAGGTGCAGCGTGTCTAGGTTGTTTTGGTCAAGATTGAGGTTGATGAGGGCAGGCAGGTTCTGGAGACCGGTGATGTCCGAGATGGCATTGCCGCGGAGGTCGAGCTCTGTCAGTCGGTGCCTACAATATCAAGATTAGTTCTAAATATCCTAAGAGACGTATATGAAGAAACAACTCACATCCTTGCCTTCCCAAAATCGACCGCCACCAGCCTATTTCTCCTAGCCCTGAGCACACACAGCCCCTCCATCCTCACTACACCCTCGACACTCTCCAGCACATTATCATCAGCCCTCACCTCCCTCAAATGGACTAAACTCCTCAGCCCATCTAAACTCTCCAACCCGTTTCTGCTGACATCCAAATACTGTAAATTGACCAAATGGCCAAAATGTGTAATTGAGCTCAAAAAGTTCCCCGCAACCTTAAGCTCCCTCACACTGTCGCTCACACCTGACAACTGTCCCAGCTCATTATCACTAACATCCAGCTTCTCCAGTCGTGGACACCACTCGTTCAGCGTGAACAATGTTTCCACCTTCCGTTTTGAAAGGTCGAGAACCTTCATGTGGTCCCAGTAGGGCTCGTATGGTTGTACATCGGTCAGATTTTTGAGGAGGTTGGCGCGCGCGGTGCTAAACGAGGCTTCGACAGACTTGATGTCGGTGGTGCCAGCTTTACCTTTGCGAGTGGCGAAAAAGGAGAGCTCGAGGTTTATTAGGGCGTCAG